CATATTGTATGCACGTGCATGTTGCTCAATTAATATTGGTGGCGCATCAAAAGGCAACAGCACTGAGAAGGTCTCTTTTAGCCACTTCAATTTAATATTTCCTCCAGGCATTGACTCTAGAGCTACACCTAACAACTCCTCACCCTTGTCCGGCCAAAAATATATGTCACTGTCAGTAACGCAAGGACCATCTATGCGGAGACCAAGTATCGTAGCTACATCTTGTAGAATAATAGTAGACTCTCCCATTCGGAAGTGGAAAGTGTTGGTCTTCGGCCTCCACCTATCTATCAAAGCGGTGAGTAGGGGCCAATCCAGCCTCATCCAACGAAGCTTTGAACATGTCAAGAAGTCGGCCCGTCCTACAGCTGTTATTAAGCGCTCATCCTCTAGATGCCAACAGCTATGGACAAGGCTGTGATCAACCATAACAATATCCGGGCCTCTCTATAAAGAAAATGGATATATAAGAATGCAATATTATAAGAATGCAATATTGAAATTATAAGAAACTTAGTTACCTCTGTAAAGGATATAACATGTAAACGGTGTCGAGGCTGGTCATATAGGACCTCATCACTAACCGGTCCAGGCTGCATGGTGTATATACCTGTACATACAATTATAACATATCAATAACCAATCCACGACTAATTACAGTTTCTATAGTAAAATAAATCACAATTTGAATATGTCAATTATTACCAATTAATTGCTATCTGTTGGGTCTAGCTGGACAACGAGGTCGCGTATGTCCCGGTTGTTTGCAAAGACTACATTTTTTATGCTTGAGAATTTGCACGCCTTCTTCTTCAATATCTTCTGAGTCATCATTTGCTTCTTCTTCTACAATTGATCCGGCCGGTAGATCACCCGTAACATAGCCTGAAGCATCGTTAAATATAGTACTTGACGTCCCACCAAGAGAATGCCCACTTAAATATTGTAGTTGAAACCACGGCTCTTGACTTGGAGATGTCATAAAACCACTCGACTCATTGTCTAAGTCATGCATCCGAGTAAACTCACCTTGAGGTCGTGAAACTTGGGCAAATTCTTGAATCGAATACTTCTCAATGAACAACTCAATTGACACTTGCTTCTCCACTAATTGTTTCATGTCATTCAATTCATCATCGTCCGTAATCGCCACAGCAATAGTTTTACTCTCATTTATCGGATAATTGAAGAATACTTTAATTGCATACTTTGCTTTATTAATGTTCGTAACTCTGTGTATTTCATTCATCATTCCATCAAAATTGAATGACTTAGATAGCATGAACATTTTCCTAGAACCTCCCTCATACATCGGCATACTATTCAATCCGACGCCGATGCTCCTATTGAAGAAGCAAATAATGGGTATAGAGTTTGCCATCGAAACTAAAAATCAACAGTCCATCATATGTATACAATCTATTATAAATGGAAATATTAATCTTAATTTAAAGTCAAATTTAAAACCCTAATCTCAACTGCAAACAATCTATTATAAATGGAAATATTAATCTTAATTTAAAGTCAAATTTAAAACCCTAATCTCAACTGCAAAGCAAATAATGGCTATATTAATCTTAATTTAAAGTCAAATTTAAAACCCTAATCTCAACTGCAAAGCAAATAATGGCTAAAAACCCTAATCTCAAATCACATTATTCATGTCTAAACTCTAATCATGGTTAAACCCTAATCCTAAATCTCAACTAAACCCTAATCCAAAATCTCAACTGAGAAGCAAAAAACCCAAATCACAAATCTCAACTAAAACCCTAATCCCAAATCTCAACTAAAACCCTAATCACAATACTCATGGTTCAACCATAATCCCAAATCCCAAGCCACAATATTCATGGTTCAACCATAATCCCAAATTTCATGGCTAAACAAAATTAACAAAAAAAAACAACAACATTACCTTGGTCAGAGATTGCTTGGTCGGCGGCGGGGGTCGGCGGCGTCGAGACAGGGACGAGAGAGGGAGCGGAGGGGTCAAGAGGGGTCAAGAGAGAGGGTATGGGTTGAGGGAGTCACGGGTGAAGCAAATGAGGAAAGGAGGGGGCCACGCGTAAAGAAATGCATTGCACGGGACTGCTAGTCCCATGCAATTCAAAGATGGGTCGAAATACACGGGACTAGCAGTCCCGTGTATTTCGTAAAAATTCTCTTGCAGCAAAACCGACCCTTTTCAGAAGAAAAGGGCCGGTTTTGCTGAATAATTTCAAATGGGGTCGGTTTTGCTATATAAAATGGCAAAAAAGTTGATTTGAAAAATTTGTCCTTTATATATATGGGGACAAAGAGAGGGAGGAGAGTTGTGGGAGTGAGAGAGTAAGAAATAAGATTTGTGATAACTAAATATACATTATTGTCGCCGGTGCAGCTAAATAGGTCTTACTGGTATAGAGGTGCCACTAAATATACTAAAATGGTAATTTTGCCAATGTAAATATATACGGAAGCTTTAAAATAATTTAGTACAATACTTATTCAATTTATTTCTTTGCTATACAATAAGTAAACAAAGTCCAATATTAAAAATAAAAAAAAAATTCTTATTTATCCATGGACTAATTAAATAACTTGAATGTAAAATTACATTTTAAATAGAAATTTTAAATTTGTATTTAAATTGTTATAATTAATAAAATATATTTTTATATAATGTGTCTTATAGTAATACTTTTATAAAGCATCTAAAAAGAATAATTACAGTAAAAATATTGGTCTTATGAATTTTTAAGATGGAATAAAGATTATAGTTCAATTTAAATTCTTATTCAAATAAGTTTTATAGCATTTTTAATGTATGTTGATCAAATCAAGAAAATTGAAATAAATATTATTTTTGAATAATAGTATTATATTTAAAAATAACTATATGAAAGAATGTACGTGTGTTGCCATAATATTTATTATAAGTAGCAGTTTAATGAGTCAAACATAACAGTTATTTTGTGTGTGTATGTGTGTGTGTGTGTATATATATAGAAACACACACGTGTGTGTGTTTTTTTGAATTTTTAAAGTACAATTAAGATATTGAATATTGAAAACATAATAATAATGTAAATGACGTTTACATATAAAACCGAAGTTTGAAATTATATTTAACAAAATACAACTGTTATTAATTTAGGTAGTAATTTTGACATAAATGGTATACTATTAATATATACACTAAATATGTTTTTGATATAAAGAAATCTCAAAAATATATATCAATCATTTAAAGGAACATTTTTATTATTTGAGGTTCTTTTAAAATCATGAATTTCAAACTTATGAAATTTGGAAATAATATTAGCTAGCAAATTTTATTGAAAGTTCGGGCTTTGTCTATACAATGCTATCAACATATCAAGATGACCCATACAAGTATAAGATAGGTATTGAAAGATACAAATGCATTTTTGAGATTATTTTAAAAATTGAGGTTTCAAAACAGGGAGGTATGAGGGTGCCTTGAATGGGATAACATAACAAGGAGGTAACTGCGTTTTTGGGGGTGTTTTTTTTAAGACAATGTCATCCTAACAAGGAGGTATCCCTGCTTAGCACGGGTTAAATACTAGTGTTAGTCTAAAGTGTAGACTCAAAGTCAAGACGAAAGCTAGAATCAAAACGTCGAAGAAAACGACCTGATAAATCTACGGGACCGCGAACAGGCACAAGGGCTCAGGAGGAGCTGGATCCGAAGGCAGTCGGCCGCGGCGGTCGACCGCGCCAACCCTGTAGGATTATTGGTCTCGGGTTTTGATACGGTCGACCGCGAGACCTGCACGGTCGACCGTCACGGTCGACCGCGACGCTGTCAAACAGTTTCCTAAACTGTTTTGGATTCTGTTTCTACCAGGACTCTATATATACCTTAAACGTTTTTAGGGTTTATACAACACGAAAAAGAGAGCTTTTTTACTGCAGAAAGAGAGAGAATCTCAGAGAGATTAAACCCTAGTTTGAGAGCTTGTATTTCTTCTTTAATTAATAAAAAAGTTGTGTGGTGTGGCTCCCGAGGACGTAGGCACGTTGCCGAACCTCGTTAAATCGGTGTGTTCGTCTCCTTTACTATTTTTGCAAAGTTAGATCTTTATTTGTGGTAATATTCCGACTTTCCTACTTTCAACGCAAGATCCGGAAGGACAAGGGTTCGATTGATTGTTTCGACTCCCCAACAACTTGTTTTTTTATACTAATTGCAAAACACGGACTAATTAGAAGCAACAAGTGGGATGTATTGAGCCGTCTCTAAACTGTTTTCTTATCCAAACTTGTGAATGGCTCAGAAGACTATGTTTCGACGGTCGGTGTTCTGATAAATTATGTGCTTGTAACTACACTGATTTAAAATGAACAATATGACAAGTCATATTCTCTTTCCCGGTTTGTCCGTATTCTACTGCTGAGATCTCTGTAGAGTCCTGAGCCTGGGGATCTAACTTTTGCGATTTTGGATTTGTTTAAGTTGGATCTGATAGGCAAATTAGTCAACTGAAACAACTGTAGATGACACTTAATTAAGATACTTAGGATCTGTTATGAAACAAGACCAAATTAATAGCCCAGTTTAGGATGAGGGAGTTTTTCTGTAAATAATAAGATCACAAACTTCAGAATTGATTAAAGTCATTGTTCAAATGAAATAAAAAAAGTTATAAAATAGAATTTGTTCTTGTGGGGGCCTCTTCCATCCCATACGGCTTCGTTTTCATCAGAGAACTTTATTGACGTTTTTCTGCTTGTCCCATTTACCAATCTTACTCCTTTGCAAACTTCCTCCTCCATCTTCATGTCATCATTATAATTAATTACTCATCACTATGATCATTATATAGTCTATGAACTGGTCATAGTACCGCTTAAAGATGACCATTAGGATCCTCCCTGTTATCACTAACCACTACAACGTTCGATACTACGAGAGTACAAACGCAAACACCAAACGAGATGATATCAAAAGGTTGACTAACTCAATACAAACCCAAGCATGATGCAATGAATTTCTCAAGTAATTCGACTACGGAAAAAATTAAGCAAAGGCAACCTTTTAATTAACTCAATTACACGATCATGCTTCACTTCCGACAGTTGATAGGGAAATATACACACATCTGACGTTACTAACAAAGGTGGGAAAAGACTAATAATAACACAGAAGAATGTTAATCCGCACCTTTCAATTCCCTTCGATGCAAAACCCTCGGTTGCTAGATAAGCGAGGGTGATCATGGAGCACCACGCAAATATGCATCTGATGTTGCAAACATGCATTCTAAAAAAAAATGAACGGATGCATCCAAGGAAGCAGCTTTCTTTTTCCTCTTTAGTTGGATATGGAATGAGGTCTTTTCTACCAACCAGAAAAGTTTTTATATTCTACACCGGATACGTCAACTTTCCTCTTCTTGCTAGTATCATTTGAACCAAGCACATTATTCCCCAAAGCTTCGGTTGCAGTGTTCCTTGCTTTGAGATACTTGCCGACTCCACCGCCTACTGTCGCAGACCCAGTTGCTCCAGTGCCTGGGTTGCTAAACCATGAACCCACCTGGTCCTGAAAAGTAGTACACGAAATAAGCCAAAAAAATCCATCATGACCAAAGCTTTCAAATAAGCATGTCCCCAACCCAACAGGCTGCCTATAAAGAAAGAGACCCAAATTTTTACAACAATAAGCAACAATCAACTTAGTTAAAGCAGTATTCTCGCTAAGGAAAATCATCGACAAACAGATGGGCTTGCTATCAGTTCATGACAATCTAGTTACTGGTAGTGGTAGAGACACCACCTTATTACTGCTGTAGATAAAGTACGACATAACTTTTCTACGAGGGGTTAAAAATAGTTCAATTCTGTTTGGACTAGCTAGTTAACATGAAGGTTTTTTTTTTTTGGTAAATAGAGGGTTAAGAAGTTTAATCCCTCTCATTTTTTATAAACACCAAATTTGACCTTATTAAAAGTAGAAAGATTATTTAATAATTATTATATTAAGCAAAACTTTAAAAAAAAATTGCATTCACCAGAACCATGAAAACATTGTCATTTTTTGTATTATTTAAATAAATGAATGTTGAGGAGGTTAATAAAAATCAATTTAAATTAGAAATTCAACACATTGTGTTTATATAGGAACAAAACGATTTCGATTAATCATTAATCTCAAAAGAGAATGGCTATTAAAGAACAAAAGTAACAATTTCTAACTAATGCTATATAAAATTTGAAATTTATTATGATAAACTAATACATTTTTTTCTCCTAAGAATGCATATCATACATCAGGATCTTTGCACTAATGGTTACATTTGAGGGATGAAAACAAATAATGCAAAATTGCTACTTGATGATGGCTTTTACGAGAAGAAAGCAATTTCCCCCCACTAGACAGCTTTTCCTCCCAAATAACTTTCCACTTATCTTTCTCCTCACTAAAATGTTCCTCTATCATACTAGTTGTTAGTTATAATTTTCATAAAATGACAGCTTGTGGCCGCGTGAGGAGGCGAAGTACACGCTATTCCGCCTCCCCATGCTGAATTGTAAACCAGTCATTAGAGGGGTTAATAGGTCACGTATAGTTTAACAAACCCATAGGAGGATTTTGTTGTTTGAAGGGTTAATGAGGAGTTAAAACCCCATAACCCTTCTACTAACTCCTTGTAAAACATGACCGAAAGGTTTCTTCACTAATAAACCCAAAGTTTTACTCAATTTTTTTAAGCTCACTCACTTCTAAAATTAATCCTAGGCCCAAGTACTCCTTCAACTTTATTTTAAACTTACTTCCAAAATCACTCTTAGACCCCAAATTACTATATATACTACTAAAGTTTTTGGGAGATCAAATTTTTGGCACTTCCCCTGTAGCTAGACACTATCCAATTCAAAAAGCTTTCAATATATATATATATATATATATATATATATATATATATTATATATATATATAGAGAGAGAGAGAGAGAGAGAGAGAGAAATGGGTATGCTTGGCATCAAGCATAAATTTTGTGTTTTGGTAGGAGGTGTCATATTCCCATCCACTCATTTCCAATTCCCACCACTTCCCAACCCATGCGAATGTGGACCCCGATTTCAATGAGTGGAGGGGAATATGTCACCTCACTACCAAGCACAAAACTTGTGTTTTGGTACCAAAGGCAATACCCATTTCTCTCTCTCTCTCTCTCATATATAATATGATCTCATATATAGTATATTATATATATATATATATATATATATATATTATATATATAATTATATATTATATGATAGTATATATATATATATATATATATGGTAAAGAGTTTTTATTTTTTTTCCTTATGAACCCAAAGTTTTAACTCCATTTATTAAACAACCCATTTTCAAAAATAGTTGCATATAAACGTGAAGTTTTACCCCTCACTTATGTTATTTATAAACCCATTTTGTATTTCAACAGTTTAATAAACAATGTAAGTTGCTATATTTCGTGGTAACTTGATATATTTCTGTTTAATTCGTTAAGTGTACATAAATGATTACAACAAAGGTATTTGTTGAGTTATAAAAAAAAAGGTATACGTCGTAAGTTGCTATTTGTAACATACTACAATTTTTGTTTTAAGTTGTTAAGTATATAATATAATTTCAAACAAATTTTTTAAACCAGTAATTTCTTTTCCCTCACATTACTGCTGTGGCATCACAAAGTGTGGATAGATTTTCCCCAATAAATCAAAAAATTTACCCAAGTTTATTTTTAAACCCATCCACTTGCCAAAAGATGTTTTTGCTTGTAATCCCAAAGTTCCATCCTCATTTACTTTTCAACCCACTCACTTCCTATGTTACTATTAAACCCAAAATGACTCCACTAAAACACATTTAAAGCTAATTTGTATTTTGGATGTTTGGTACACGGTGTTAGTTGTTGGTCGTATTTTGTTGTAACTTACTATATTTTTGTTCGAAGCACTAACACACAATGCATTTTTTAAACCAAATAGTACGCCATTATTTTCAGTGTCTCTCACACAAATGCCGCAACATCGCACGGGTAAATTTTGCTTGCTATAAGCAATTATAATCAACATTTAAGACTAAAAAGAAACACTACAGAGCGCAATAAATCACATTCAAATATTAGCCTCTAAATCATCTCACAGTCAACTGAAGTAGATGGAACTTACATTATCATCAGCAGCAGCTCTCTCCTCTTCTTCTGCTTTCTCCTTCTCTTCTTCTTCATCTGGCTCTGTGTATGGATTCACAAAGATTGTGACACTTGTTATCTTTATTTCCTCCTGAACAAGGATAACAATGAGCACAAATTATTTAGAAACTTACATCAGTGGAATGAAATTTAACAAGATAAATAAACAAAATGCAGGATGATTCATCTAAAGTCCTGCAAAAGTGTTCATTTGGACGGGGGAAAATGAGTTATAAAACATAATGTAATGGACACAGCATTATGCTGAAAAAGCAAATGAGCTGAGCTGATTTTCATTTCGGATCCATGAATTCTTTGTTTCTGTTTAGGAGCTTTTGAAAACTGAAACAGTGTAAAATAGCTTACGTATTTAATGAGCATCAAACTAATCATCATCAGTCAGCCATAGAAAACTAACTAAGCTTCATCCTCGATGGAAGAGAAGACAACTATAGGACCAATCTTTATCATGGCATTCAGCATCCAAACTGGAGCCAAATTTATGAAGAGATGTACAAAGCAAAGAGCTTTTCCTAGAAGGCTGCTCCATAGGTAGTAAAAACAGTCTAGCAGCTCAAAAGCTTATGAAAAAATGGACTAACTTTTAGGGGTCATTGAGTAAAAAGAGTCCACAAAATTATAGGCATCAATGAAGCAAAGCTTCAAAAAAAAAAACATTCCAAAGAATATATGGACATTATAAAAATGCAGTCAACATGTCTAGCTGGTAACATTTAACACATCAAAAAGTTGATGTCTATTTGCATATGCAGAGAACAATCCCTCAAAAAAGAAGGGGGAAGAAGAGAAGGAAGGGACAGTGGGATGGAAAGCTGTGATGTGAGGATGATGTTGCCGACGATGACGCAGGGCGGGGGGGGGGCGGATCGTAGTCAAATGTAAGTCAATTTTTTTATGAATGATTTACCGTGATATGTGCACGGAGGCTTTCACCCACACAGAACTGGATGATATAGAATGATTTCAAAAGCAGGGACAAACTGGTGGAATCAGTTCTGATAGTTCTAATTCATGCTCTTAGATGCCCTATAACTTTTTTGCATAGTTATAAAACATGTTTAACTGCGAAAAGTATTAGGCATGCATGGTGAAAGAAAGTGTGCAAAAAGATGAGAAGAAAAAACAGAATAATTACGAATGAAACACAGGGTTTCTGTTGAACTATCTGAAAAAATGCAGAATTTTTGAGCAAGAGGCCATCTGTAACAAATCACTTAAATAAAAATATGCCTGAGAATCTATAAAAGGCATATGCACAATTTTCTTATTTCTTAAATTTTGGACGTAGAGAGGCAACTTGTAACAACTGTTGGCAAAAAATCAAATCCCACAGAAAAAAGTTGAGTTGAAGCAGAATCATGGTCTCTGTCATTAACCATCTTCACTAATATGCTGATATTATTATAAGTACACAAGGACAAGAAAGCAGCAGGTTGTACTGAAGATAAATGCCCTCAAAGTTCAGACTAAGCAATTTTTCACAAAATTTATCCATTAATCCTAGATTCACGTAGCCAATTGGCCGGTAGCTAATGATTCTGATAACAAAAGCAGGTGTCAAACTCAAACCAGGAAAAAGGGTGGAAGTCGGGAATGTAGGAATACACAAAGAACTGCGTCCTAAGTTCAATTGTCATGGATTCGTGGTGGAACACAACCCAATTCACCCAACTCCAACGACCCGATTTAATATTCAAACCAATTAAAATTTTGGAAAAAAAAAAGCTCTTCCTTCCAAGAATTAACAATAAAAATATACGAAATTAAGCAAATAAAGTATGCATACCTCAATTGCAACATGATTATGTTAATCTGAAAAAACAGATCAAGGCCTAAAGAAAGAAACAGATATTTTATTTATTTTTGAAAAAATAAACAGATATTTTTTATTTTAAACAGATATTTAACCTTCAATGAAAATAGTAAATACAGTCACTAAGAAATATCTATGTACAATCTAATTTAGGATTTAAAAAAGTAGAAATACAAGGAATTTCACTCACCAAAGGCCGGTCATCATCGTCAACAGGAACTTTTTCCATAGCTGCTAGTGTAGTCATTCCCCCAACTACTCCACCAAATACTGTATGCTTGAAGTTAAGATGATTGGCCGACTTGTATAATATGAAAAACTGGGAACCATTTGTATGCGGCCCGCTATTAGCCATGCTGACAACACCTCTTCCAGAATGCAACAGTTTTGAATTCAGTTCATCTTTGAAAGGCTTACCCCAAATAGAGTCACCTCCTTTTCCAGTGCCTGTGGGATCCCCGCCTTGAATCATAAAGTTCCTAGAAAATGACAGTACATCTTATTCATAAATAATGAAAGATGAATGAAGAGAAGTGTGTAGTTAATGAAGTGTAACTACTTCATAATCATACCTTATGCTTCGATGGAAAGCTATCCCGTTATAGTAACCACGTTCACAAAGAGTGATGAAATTTTCACAAGCACGTGGTGTTATATCACAGTGCAACTCTAAATTCAAGTCTCCATGTGTAGTATGCAGCTGAACATACCCTTTCTTTTTGGGATTCTTCTCAACTTTCACATATTCGAACTCATTTTTTGTTACAGGATCATAGGAAGTAGATGTAAAGGAACGAGTAGCAGCTCCAGTAGTAAAACGGCTTTTCACCTGAAAAGATTTTTAAGTTTTTCTAAACATGAGAAAACACAATATATGCAGAAAAGTAGGGAGATATGAGGATGAAGACCTACAAGTTTTGCATTTACAGGTGCTCGTTCACCTGCCATGTGCAAAGCAACTCGAGCTGCAGTTTTATCACTAGATGCTGCTTTAGCTGCTGCTGCACTTCTTCCATGAACTGAAGCAGATGCAGCATCCACAATACTGAAAGATTGTGTGATTTTAGGCTCTCCATTTGCACCTGATTTTGCCTCCTCTTTGAGACGAGATCTTGCAGATAAAATGGCAGCAAGTGCAGCTGCCCGTTCTTTCTGTGCTTTGCTACCACCTCCACCAAGTAAAGCTGCTTCCTTTCCCTTCTCAGTCCCAAGCTCTTGAAGCATTTGCTTAATATCGCCAGACACATTAATGTTATAGGTTGGATCTTCTTTCATTTTCATCAAATCTAAAAGAGAACTGTATTATTTTCAACTTTATAAAAATTCTCAATATCATTGAAGTGTACCAGATTATGTACTCACCTTCATCATCAAGTTTCCGACTATTTTTAACATGATCAAACTCTAGAAGGACTTTACTATCAAGAGCATTTGGATTCTGAAGTGGTTCAAGAAAAGCATTAGCCATGCTTGAGAAGTAACATCCGCTTAATAAAAAGATGTATGATGATGTTTTAACTGTTTACCTGAATTGTTATCAAATCTTCCCTTGTAAATGGCTCATCTGTAAGTAATTCCTTCCAATTTTTGGTTTTAAGGTTAAGTTCCTTAATTGCCTGAAATATATGAATAAGCAATGAGGCTAAGGGGCTCAACTCAGTTCACATATAACTTGTCCTTTAAAAAACTTAAATGCTGTGATGGCATACCTCGTAACAAAAAACATTGCCTGTAGTCCTGACGGCAACAATGTGTGTGAATTCCGTGAAGACTTTGTTCAGAACAGGACACTGAAATTCTCCTGCAATAAAGAGTATTGGAGTAATCAGCTCAATCATGAGTAGGGAAAAATAATAATAGTCACAAAAGTTTCCAATAAGATAATAAAGACATTACAAAAAGTGTTCTACGTGTGAGTGGACAATTATACTGGAACAACTTGCATAGGAAATTCCAAGAAAGAACTTCATCTGCTAGAATTGAAATGCAGATGTGAATATTAAATGCTGTCAACTGCAACTTCTAGTTAAGTGTTGCTCTTACATGTTGCATGCATGGGTGTTTCTTTATTTTCTTTTCCCCCTCCACTTCTTTTTCTATTCTTTTGTGGTGCGAGTCATTTAGTGCAACAGCAGATCATATTTCAGGTTATGAATGGTATGTTTATCTCCAGTTTGGGTTGTACCTGAAGAATGTAAATGCCACAATTAAACACTGCATGCAGAAATCTAGAAATTACTTTCATTTGATCAGCAGACTGTAAATGATTTAGAAATTAGAATTATATGGGAACTGATTATCAAGTGGAAATTAACTGGTAGTGAGATAATTCCGACATAGAAATTCAATATTGCTCATCCTTTTCTCTTACATCCTTTTATCTTTACATTACATATGAGATCAGGAAACTAAATTAAGCAAAGTGCAAAGGGAATGCATTGACTGAAAACAAAGGATTGATTAAGATTGAGTTTAAACAAACCATAGTCCTTGTACTCTAGCATCTCTAATCTATGTATTAGGAGAAATTGAGCAAGATCCCAACCAAAAGCTTGACAATGGCTATCAACTACAGCCTGTATCAGTGCTCCTCAAATTTCAAATTCCCTGGTATATTGTGTCAGAAGTCTGCAGTGTGTATGAATAACGACCAGCTGTACATGTTTTCATAAAGTATGGAACTGTTTCAACACGTTCACTGATGTGTCGTGATGCAAACACCTAGAGTGATGTTAGTACTAGGATCAAAGAAACATGAATAGCATGCTTGATATCACGCACAAGGATAAGACCATATTAATGAATGAAGTCCAAATGTTACAAAAACTAAAGCCCCTGTTTTTCACCTCCCTTGTCCAGAGTTGTTGCTTGAATTCCTACAACAACAACAAAGCCTTCATCATAAATTTTGAGGGCCAGCTACATGAATCCTACTCTTCTGCTCAGTTCTATGTTGGGTCATCTCCTCCATTAAGTTAGCTATCATTATCCAGTTCTAACTTCGTAAATGTTGCGCTTTATTTTATTGGCAGTTTTGCTTTTCCTAAGCCAGGACAAAGGAACGTTGAGTTAGGTAGCTATGCAACCAACATAAAAATGGTCAGTTCCACATGGTGCTTGAGTCCCTAATAAGTTGACATCCTAAACTTGGCTAGAGAAAACTTTTGCTAAAAGACAATCTCTGCATAAGTAGCTAAGAAGAAGGCTCATACCCTAGGGCATCACGTAAGAAATGCACAATGGAAACGTAAATTTTAAGGGAAGAGTCATTAAGATGAACTCCAGTGAGATGATCATAAAAGAAATTTAAAAAATATTTATTTTCATTTTCTTCTCCTCTTTCTTCTAATCATGGTTTTAAATATCGGCCGATAATCCGATATTATCGTCGAGTTATCGGATTCGGGAGCTTTCCGCTAGGATAAGTATGATTTTTAATCGGTTGTCGTTTTTATGGGTTTATCGGTAACTTATCGGCGATAAAGGCACTTATCGGCCGATAAGGGAGGCTGAAAATATCGACCTTATCAGTGTAAGTTTTGAGTTGAATTGTTGGGTAATAGACAGTTACTTAGTGAGTTCTTAAACCCGACCCAACCTGCTTTTGATAATAAAATAAAGTTTCTAACTTCAAGTTCAGCTCTAATCCTTCGTGAATCTCTCTCCATCTCTATGCAGTTGTTCTTTGAGCCTTCGAGCCTCTTCGAACTCCATCGAGCTCAAGATCTCTGTTCCCCTCTACCTTTGTTGACCTCGTCGCTCGCCTCCCTAACCTCGAAGCTCACGTCCACTGACGTCGCTTGCTTGCCCGACCTCAAAACTCACCTCCGCCGATGTCGCTCACCTCCCCGACCTCGAAGCTCACCTCCCTGATGTTTATATTTCATTAAGCATGGTTAGATTATATTTCTTGGTTATTATATTATATATATACACCATCCAGTATATCACTCCGATAAATACTACTTATCCCCGATATATCCCCGATTTCCGCTATCCAATAAGGATTTTGACCGTCCGATAAATCCTCGATAACCGATATTTAAAACCTTGCTTCTAATATTTCCTATCATCTTCTTGTTACATGTATCACTAGGCATCGGACAAAGTGCCTAGAGCCTAGGCGGGGTCTAGGCATTTTCTTGTTTTTTTAATTTTAATTACTATCAATGTTATAGAAAGTACTAGGCACCACTAGGTGCCCAGCGCCTAGAAGCTAGGCCTAGGAGAATTTTTTTGAAGTGGTGAGAAGGAGGTTTTGCTGAATGTCGAAGTTGAGAGGAGATGTTCATAGTCAGTGGAGGCGGCACGAGGAGTTTAGAGGAGGTTAGAAGACATAGAGACAGCAACAGAGGAATAATAATCAAGACCTAAGCAATGCAAACTACATAAGCAGCCTACTCCCCTACGTGCTCCCAAGACCTATGCAGGTGGCATAGGTCCAGTCTAGGCCTAGGCGGGGGCTTCTCAGAACATTGTTTTACAAGCATATATTATGAGCATTTAGTGGCTAGAAAACACATTTTAGGAATATGAAAGGCATCAACCAGTTACTCAAACATTTCAATCTCAAATTTATACATGCCATCTAAGACACAGCTTTCACATAGCTAATTGTGAAAAGTTAGCATGGGCTACAAGTTCACATCGGCATTTTGATGTATGGACATTCAAAAAGTTTTTCAAGTATGATTCAGTTATCTTGGGTCGAACCTTCAGTGGGTACTAAACCTTATCATCTTCCCTTGTCATTTACTGCAATATTTACTGAATAGTAAATTCTACCTCCTCCTTCAATCAAGGGTTTTAAATTTAGATGCCACTTTTAGAGGTCGTCAGGAACACCTTACGCATGCTACTGATGGCATAACTTTACTGACAAATTTTCCATCAAATATCGGGATTTGCTAAGAATAATTAAAAAAGTGATCTATAAATGACTTCATAAATATGATGCTCAGATAGCCATGTAGAGTGTCGCATCTAGCCACCGACGTGTCTCTTCTGGTTACGATTTAGGAGACACCGTACTTATTGTTAATGATGGAAACATAGTATCACCAACAAACTTTCATGCAGTATCAGGATTTGCTGAGATAACTGAAAACAGTGTTTTATAATGGCTTGGCACATCTGCTGCTTTGGGTAGCCACGCAGTGTCTAGTATCTAACCATCTAATCGTATTTTTGTCTTTTTCATGACACTCATTAAAAGAGGACAAACATAATGAAACCATATGATAGCCCCATTTAAGTTGAATTATAAAAAATATCAACTGGTGCTATTATCAATTACCATGATATGCTATGAACTCTAATCAATAACACTAAAACAAGTTTAGAATTTGGGATTTCTTTTTCTCAAAGTTAAAACCTGACTTCGTAACAATTAGGTTTAGAGAAATCTGCAAGTCATGGACTTCCCGGATAAAGAAAAATTAGAAAAACTACCTCTGTGGTAATGATGCTCAATTACAATTCATAAAAGATTAGAAGTAAAACTCATTTAGTAGGTATGGTGAACTCGTGGTGCTCTTTTCAAATATGCAAATATGAAAATTAAACTATCTGGGCATAGTTAGAAATAAAATGACAAAAAGACAAATCATTTTTTTTTAATTTGTACAGCATGCATATTTTGTAAAGATTTCTGGTGCTCCTCAAGTAACATGATTCATGGCCCATTACAACACTATCTTTATAGTGCCCTGTCTCTCAATAAAGCCTCTAGACAATATTAGCATACATTAATACTTTTCAAAAGGAGCTTAGAAGCATAAAGAGTTCTGAAGGGTTAAAATTTTGAAAATCATAAAAAATTCATAAAAAGGGGTTTTAAGGCTAGAACTACTTGTAGAATAACCTACAGCAAAGGATGTCTACCTATAGTAAATCAACCAAACTTCCAATAATATCTCATCCAAACAAATAGAAGTCAAATACAGACTTGTGAAAAATGAAATTGATAGGTCCATTCTGACTCACCATCTGAATTCTTGTGAAATGTTAGGGGAATGAGATCCTGTTGCTTGAGCGGGCGGCCCGAAACCGGATGCCTACCATACTTCTTGATATAAGGCATTATGTTCCTGCACCCAAAGCTCCAAAGGTTCGGACTTTAATCCCACCGACAAATTTTTAACAAATTACAGCGTTCAAAAGCTCACATTAGATCGAACACGCTGCCATCGGCGGTGCAGACGGGTTCCTCGAACGGGAGGAAAGTGAGACTGCGAGATTTACGAATAAATTAGGTCAAGAACAGGATATAGAATAATAGAAGGGGGGGAGTTTGAAGGATTCTGCTAGGGTTTTTGGAGACTCACGAGCAGCAGTAGAAAGGGAGGCGCTTGAAGGGAGTGGAGTTTTCCTTGGATTTGGCGCCGCCCCATTCAGTCGCCCACTCCGTCTTCGTTATGAACATCCGATCCTTGCTGTGCTGCTTCTTCCCCATATCTGAGATTGAAATTGAGCTCGACTCTGATTTTTTTTTTTTTTTTTTTTTGCCCCCCTCTTTTTGAAAACTAGGGTTTCGAGGGATCGCCCTTCCTCAGTCCCTGCAGTCGGGGATTCCTCGTTTTCGTTAACTGGAGGGAAATTGACAAAAGAACCGACTTTGGGTTAGCTCGTGCGTAGCACGTGAGGTAACCATCCGCCGTGCGGTCCCTTTTATCTTCGGTAACTGCATATCAGTTCCTTATGTATTCAATAATTGCATATTTGTCCCTCAAATATTGTAAATTGCATATTTATCTCTCGGTCACTAAACTACCCATATCTCCGATGTTTCAAACCTTTACGAAGCCCAACTTTGGGTTAGGGACTTTTGCTAACAATTGGAGAAGAAGAAGTCAGGTAAGTTTGGATTTATTTTAAGCTGATATTGGGTTTAAACCTATTAAAAAATAAATTGAGGAACGTTATAAAGAGGTAAAGTGGTCGCTTTGCCTCCAACCATTAGATTTGACCTAATATTCCCCTCAAATCTAACCTGATGTAACTTAAAGGACTATTTTGCAAGACCCTATAGGATTAGAGGGAATAACATGCAATTTCCAATATCAGAGGGAGTAATATGCAATTATTAAGTATTTTAAGGAACTAATCTGTAATTTCCAGAATTTGGGGGAAATTATTGAAGATTTAAGAGACTAATATCTTGAAAAAAAAACCTCTTTTTAGTTTTCTTTTCGAAAAGGAGTACTATGAAATTGAGTTCTTTATGTAAAAATTCTCATGATTTTACAAGTAGTCATCAAAATTTAAATTAATTTTTTGAGGTTTTTTATTCTTGAACCTACTGTGATTTTTAAAATTGTGCAAACAAATGAAAAGTTCATGGTACTTTTTCTTGAAAATTTTGTAGAAAAAAGTTATTTATTTTCCTATTACTTATGTATATATTTATTTATTGTTTAATATTCTATTCATACGAGCAACAAAAAGATATAATTCAAATATCTAACATATATTTTTATATGATTTAGTCATTTCTTTCTAGGACATATCACATGAACTACATGAATAGAAACATATTTATCGTGAAGAGTGTTGATGAGAAAGAAAAAAACAATATTGTATAGCTATATAGAAACTAGGTGTGTACTAGTATGCGATTGGAAACTAAATCATCAAAGTGACCAAAAAATTTTAATTCCAATTGTTTTCCGTATTGATAATCTTTTTGAGAACTTGGAGGAAACTAATATTATTAAAATATTATATGCATATGTTTTATAATGATAAACTACTGTTCAAATATGTTTCATAATAATCTTTAATTATTTGTTTGAAGTGATTCTAACTTTATACTATTTTGCAGCAATCACTTGTTCATTGCTTTGGTCCAGGCAATATAAACATTAAACCCTCCCCCTCCTCTTCTTCAAAAACACACGACTTCTCCTTTCTCTCTAACTAATGGCTTATGGATAACAAAATCCTCATTGACGTGGCCGTTGTTATCAAAATACCTTTTAAAAAATGATATACTATTCTTTGCTTCTTGATCTGTTTGTGATTCATTACAAACGTACTCATAGTTTTAATTAATGATTTTTTTGGTGATGTTGTACATCATGTGTTTTCTTTTGGGAGCCCTTGCATATACAACCGTCATTCTTCCATATTTGTAAATGTACCCTCAAATTTTGGTATTTGCCAAATATTCCATCAATTCTTTCATTTTGATTTTTTTATACCCCTCCTATTTATCAAGTTTATTATTATTATTGTTATTTGATGGAATCAAGTTTAGTTTTTAAATAGGAAATTGTTGCTAACCTGTTGAATCAATAGATATTTTGACATTGCCTAATTTAGAAACCAATATTGTTAAGTTGGAGCAGAAGAAAGGCCTGATATGCTAGTGTTATAGCCTAGACAATCAACAAGTGCTAACCTCTCTAGAGAGGCCAACACGGGTCTCACCCTCTCGCCTAATCAGATGATTAGAGCCAAGATGACTCAAACTACTCCTACAGCCGACCTTATGCGCCAACAACTTGCGTAGCCGAGTCAAAAGGCAATGTTTCTATGTCCTTAACCAAACTAACAGAGTGGCAACAGTTACCTTGAACCCCTCGCTAGCCGACTGCTCTCACATTAACTACTCTGACAAAGTCATCATTACTCTAGTCCTCATAGTCTTTATGACTCATTGGACCCAGTCAGCTCCAAGCACCTGCTATCATTCCCTCATTAAATAACCAGATGATTAACTTTCTTCCACGGTCGACATCGAGAGGGTACCTGCTGACTCAGCAACCTGCCTAGACTCGACCGAAGTTACTTTCATATCACTCTGGTCTGCTATAAAAGGGAGCTACGTGCATGGGGTAACTTCTGCTTTGTGGCAACTTAGAATAACTACTTATACACTTTGTCCTTATTTTCCCCCTCAAGATCAAAATACTGACTTGATCATCTGAGGAACAACCGGAGAACCCAACTCCGCCCTCTCATGAGTTTTTCATGTGTAGGGACTCTGGAAGCAGTCATCTGAAGAAGTTTGAGGACACTAAACACTCTCATATCTCTAACATAAATCTCATATTTGATAACTGACATCAACAAGTAATTTGTGTGGTTATGTTGCAAATATTAAGATTTGAAGGATAATTTACAAATATAAAATATTTGAAGGGTGTGTGTGTGTATGCAAAAAAAAACCATTTGTTTTAATTAATTTCATTTAGATATGTCAATTCCTATGTCTGTCTCCTTTGCACTAACCAAAATATATGATTTGATGTTCAATTTCTAGTCCTAGACACTAGAGATTATATGTAATTGAACAAAGACACATCTTCAAATAAAATCCAAAAAATATTATAGATTACAGATTGCAAAAAATGAGAAACATAAGAGAGAGGGGGAGAGAGAAAGATAGATTTGAATCCTTTACGTTATAAAAAGCAGCGGAGAGGTTAGTACTATATCACAACTAGTAATGGATAGTTGTGATTTTCTTGTGAGTGTAAATTAGAAACCGAGTACAAATCATGGGGGTGTAGTGTATTAGATTGGAAGGAATCATAATCACCTATTAGTTCAAATCAAAGACTATGATTAATGTAGTGGTCTCTTCACTACTGTTTCTTTTTATAGTGGAGATGATCCAAATTCATTTTTATTGGGTGTGAAAATTTTGAATGAAGACTAGCAATAAACACACATATAGAACATAATCCATACCCATCAAGAAATTCTATAATTTCTCACAATATAATAGAAGAATATTGAGAAATTTTTATCTAAAACTCTTTACTTGCTAATTATAAATTATAAATAAATACAAATTTTGGATGGTAAATAATGTAACCTTTACGTCTGATACGGGTGTATCTTCTCTGTTTCGAGAACTTAGCGATTCTCATACGAGATTAAGGATAGATGATTCTCATGGTAGCTTGAGAATAAAAATGTGGACGGAGTCGTTGATAATAGATAAAATGGTGAAAAATAGGAAAATGACGAAAATCAAGAATCTGACGAAGCAGCTCTGGTCAGTCGACTGATGAGCTAGAATCAGTCAACCGATGAAGCACTATCCGTCGACTGATTAGTCATCATCAGTCGACCGATAAACGGATACACTATAGGGTCAGAAAAATAGGTTCTGGACAGTCGACTGATGGACTAGCATCAGTCGACTAATGAAGCACTATCGGTCAACTGATGAGCAACCTCATCAGTCGGCCGATAGCGGGTTTCCTGGGTCGATCTGGATTCCTGTTTTTGGCGAATCCTATTTGGGTTTATCTTGAATATTTACTAGTTTGCCACCCACGTTATTTAAGATACAAATAGAGGTTGTTTAGGGTTTTAAAAAGAGGAGATCAGTGTTTAGAGAGGATGGAGAGGTTGTTCTTTATTCTAGAGAGATAGTGAGGAAGAGATTTGTAATCTTTTATTCTTCATAAAATAGAGAATGTATTTTTCTTCGCCAAATTGAATTGTTCGTGTGTTTTGCTATTTTCTTCACAAAATATATATTTGATAATTTCGCGATCAAAGGTGCTTGCATTGCGACTCGTATCAAGTTGGTATAAGAGCGAATTAGATCTGGAGAAGGGGTATCATGTGTATGGTCCTTACTCGATCGCAATACAAGAAGCTAGGTGAGATTATTGTTTCTTTGGAAGAAGTCTAGAAATCAAGGAAGAAGAAGATGGAGGATAGTGATAATTTAGCAAGGCTTGATGCGATGGAGAAACAGATCGAGACAATCAGTTCGACTCTCATGAAGCTCGTTGATCTCATCCACGGAGGCGACAAGAAGGTTGATTCTTCGGCAGGGTCAAAGAGGAAACCTATAGAATCCGATGGAGACAAGTAGAATTCAGACTCCAACGAAGAGGTCGAAGATGTCAAGAATGTTCCATATCAAGGGGAAAAGGATTCTTACCAGAATTTGAAAATCGATTCCAAAGTGGAGATTCATGTTTATGATGGGAGTGTCAACGTTGAGAGGCTTGACGATTGGATTGAGCATATGAAGACCTATTTTACTCTTTGTGGCTATTCGTCTAAGGAGAATATCGTTTTCACGACACTGAAGCTTTCCGAGTATGCTTTGACGTAGTGGAAGTCCTACTGCAAGCATGAGAAGAAATCTGTGTTGTGGAGCATGTTTAAGAAGCTACTGAGGAAGCAGTTCTACCCGGTGGGATTCCTTGAAGAGTGTTGATACAAGTGGTACGACTTGTGCTAATGATTCAATCAAACCGTTCAAGAGTACACTATAGAGTTTCAACAGCAAGCTATGGTCCTCAACATTATGACGGAGGAGTATCCTATTTTTATGAAGTATATGACGATTTTGAATGAATACATCTGGAAGGAGATGAAGATGTTAACGGTTGAGTCGATTGCGAAGGCGAGCGTGAAGGCAATTGCCATTGAAGGTAACCTAAAGAAGAGCAACGAGACAAATGGAGGTGCTAATCAAACTTAAGGCAAGTCTAGTGGCACCCAACCCAAGGAGGAGAAGAAGAAGGGTGATCCCGAGAAAGCACGACTGACTTGTAATCATTGCAAGCAGATAGGACATGTCGTTGATTGGTGCTGAGAGAAGTATCATCATCTCAAACCGAAG